AAGCCATTTGTTGGCTTTATCCCCAGAGCTTTCTCTCAATAGCCAGCCACTTTGTTAGGGCCATACTTGTCACACTTACAACTCAGAATGGAACTATGAGTAATAGCATTCAGGAAAGACTCTTTCAGAGCAAAAGGCTAGACCAAAGGGCAACATCATGTGCAATCATATGTTGCCAGCTGGAACCTTAAAAACTTTCAGTGATTCTCCTTGATGGCAAAGTAAAAGCAAACAACCTTCAGGTCATTGTCTCCCAGCCAATATTCTGAGTGTAAAGCCTGAATAATAATGTGGCAATTCCGAACTTTTAAGAATTTTATGTATGAAATCTATTAATCAATCTGATCTCCATACGCGTCTATCTCCACTTTGGTGGAGACAACGAAACAAATGAAATAGCTATGGGATCTACCCAATAGAGTTTAATAAAAGCATTATCTTATAAAAAAGTCACAACAACCTTCAAAAGTGGAAACACTTTAAAATGAGTGTCAAAATAGGATGAAATAGATAACATCTAAAACAAAATACATGGAAACATTGAATACAAACATCGTTGACATACTGCAGGAAATATTTTATATTATCAAGCTATCTAGGTAAATGGGAAAAGCCACAGTGCAGTTCACCACCAATGTTGAAATTTGAAGCAAAAGGAATCAGCTTTCTCTTTAGTCAAACAGGCAAGTGAACCATCAGGGTAAAAAGTATAGGCACTGAGTCACAGAAATTCAAAGGGTCCACTTTGGCAAGGGATCAAAACAAATAACTGCTGGAGGGGCAGAGGACAATAGTTTCAATAAAAGTTGAACAGCTTTAATAGTGGAGATCAATGAATACATAGTGACATTACAAGCAGATAAACCTTGAGCTGAATTCACCGATTCTAGCACAAGCTTCTAATATTAGAAACTTACATTTTCAACAATTTTAAGGTTCAAAAGAAGTGCATATATGGAAGATATTCTGGAATCTATTACAATATCCACCACAAAGTAGTGCTTTAGTTAATAACCATTCCTTTTCAATATCCAAGTCATCAAAGAGCAGTTGGGAGGAACAGACGCTCTGCCTGAACAAGACCTCTCCTGTGGGGAAATGAGATTTGCACTGTTCAATGTAAGGATGCCTTAGAACACGATTTCTGAAGCGAATGGATGTAGGATACATCAGAATAAGAGTTGTGTCTTAGTTTTCGCATGCATGCTTCCAGACAATTCCATGCCTCAAAGCATTTGAATCATTTCCAGATGACACATCCATTTGAGTGGGTGCATCAGAGATCGACTCAGAAAGCCAGCTGTCAACCTTTGGCCAGTGTGGACAATGAAAAACAAATGTTCATTCTTCAGGACCTAGTGTTTTTGTTTATTCCACGCATCCACCATCTTCTGAGAGATCACTTTTGGGATCTCTACAATCTGCATATTCAGTCCATTTTTGCTACAGTGCAAACATATACATCTTAGGAATATCGGAAATAAACTGAATATACTATTTGCACATGAAACTCCCGCAGCTATTTTCACTTTTTTGAGTGACTAATGCAAAGCAGTCCATAAAAGCAGAACTATGGGAATGCATAAGAAAGATAGTCACTATTGGTAAGGGTCAGTGTTTAACAAAGCCTACATGCTGTATGCAGCTAATTTATACCTGCAATGTAACAAGAAACAGAATAAATAGAAAGAAAAATAAGCAGCCAAGCAATTTATTTTATTTTAACAAGTTACAGAAAATGTGAAATATGAAACTTTGGAAAATGTGTTGCCCGTGGAAGGGGGAAAATTGTTTTAATTAATTTTCTGGGAAATAGTGGCATAACAATGAAAGAACTGCAGTATTGATAAGGGAAAGGGAAGCTCATTTTCAAAATATAACTTAAATTAATTAAGCAAACTAAGCAAGGAAATCATAATAGAAAATAATCTGAACAGTTTATTTATGTCTGTACAATAACAGCATTCATTCAAAGAAACTTATTGCGAGAGACAAGGTCACCAACAAAATAAGCATCCTGCTTTATTATGGTTCACCTGTCAACCTTAATTTGAACCATTAGCTACAGCAAATCCAGTATCACATCCACCTGAAGTCTTGGAACCAAATGAAAACACACTACAATCTTGCTAGCTCAACTCAGTTAACAGTCCAATATGGTTTGGAACTTAATACGATTCATCCAGTTATCACACTTGCTGCAATTTGGCACTACCACCAACTGCAGGAAGTTGCAGTAACGAAATGATATATATATGTTTGGGGATGTTGAATGGCGACAATGATAGAGTTACGTTGAAGTTATGGAACTCCACTCCCTGCCCTTTGCTCAGCCAGTTCCAGACATCACTCGACCGCTCCACTTTACCATCAGTGGCCATGCTTTCCATAGAACCATAGAAATTTACAGTACAGAAGGTAGCCATTCGACCTATCGTATCAGTGCCAGCTCACTTGAGAGCAATCATTTCAGTCCCATGTGCCTGCTCTTTCCCCCATAAGCCTGCAGCCCACTCTTTAAGTTATTTGTCTAGTTCCCTTTTGAGGGTCAATATGGAATAATCATAATAATCCTTGCATTTGATGTAGTGCTTTTCATGTCTTCTAGACGTCTTAAAAAGCTCACAGAATAGACTGTAAAGTGAATTGACTGTATATTTGTGGGCGAAACGCGCAGCCAGTGTCCCACAAACAGTCGTGGATTGAAAATGACCAATTTATTATTGTTTTTTTTCTAAAGTGATTATTATCAGGTGTTGAGTAAGGAAACTTGCCCAAGGTTTCGCCCTGCTGGGAATCAAACCCACTTGTGAGGCAAGTGCTCTAATACAGGACTCCTGGATCTGTCTCAACCAGCACTCCCACAGGACATTCCATATCATAACAAGTCCGTGCCTGAAAAAACTTCTCCTAATCTTCCCATTTTCTTGTTCAGCATCTTAAATTGATGCCTTCTAATTACTGATTCACTGACCAGTGGAAATAATTTCTCTCTATTGACTATCAAAACCCCTCAGAAATTTCAAAGACTTCTGTTAGGTCACCTCTCAATCTTCTTTGTTTCAGTGGAAAGTCCCAGTTCATCTAGTCTCAGCTCATAGGCCAACCCTCATCCCCAGTATCATCCTACTGTATCTCCTTCCCTCTATTGCCCTGATGTCTTTTTAAAGTGGGGAGACACAATATGCTGGACACAATATTCTGATTGCTAACTAACGATTTATATAGGTTTTGCATTACATCTTTGCTTATATATTCTTTAGCCCAATTTATAAAACTTAGGATTCCATCTGTTTTCTTCATCAACTTCACCCACCTGCCTTCCCCCTTAAAGGATTTACATACATTAAACCCAAGTCCCTTTGCTCTTCCACTCCTTTTAATATTTTAACTTTTAGCCATTGTACCCTGAAAGTCTGGAACTCCCTGTCCCAATCCCTTCACCCCTTCCCTTCAGACTCTTTGCCAGTCTTCAGGTCACACCTAAAGACCTTCCTCTTCAACCAAGCCTATGGCCACAGTTCCCTATCACAGCATCAAACACCACCATTGTTAAGTACTCCAAGACACAATTCTACGGTATGGACCACTACAATAAGAGGCTGTACCCTTATAATTTTCCACTTTTGAGCATCACTGGTAAAGATTACATGTTTTCGCGGGTCAGATTAGCCAGTGCATGCAGATACCCAAATTAACGGATTCCACAGATGAGTCAATGTGGCCCTTTTTAGGCAGATGGATCTAGAACCCTACTAATTAGACTGACAGGTTCATTAAAAAATATCAGGACCATAACATAAGAAAGACTTTCACAAATATGAGACAAGAAGTGGTATAAATCCAATTTAATCAATAATCTACACTGCACATGCGTACTTCAATGTGCATGCGTCGATGGGTCAGAACTCCATTTACAGAAAACGGTTTCAGGGAATTTGTGAGAAAAAGAAGAAGAATTTCAGTTTTCATCCCAAAAAGAACAAATTTGAAGGATAAAAGCTTACGAAAATGAAAGCACAGATATGACTGGCATTCAGTAGCAATTATACAGCTATAATGATCAAAATTTACATAAATTGAGAATTCAAGTCAAACATTTTATTGAAGCTTTCAATCATCTGTATTATGGTGAGGCAGACATGTTTCCCTAGGAAAGTAAAGAAACTAAGGTGCAATGAACTTAGCCATTGGAGAGATTGATTTATTAATTGGTCATATGATTGTAGTCTTTCTGATGTTTCTCTGTACCTAATCACTTGAATGAGGAGGAAAAAGATCTCCAAACAACTTATTGCTCTAGTCTAATCATTTACGTAACAGAAGTCAAAACTTAGAAATAAACATGTGCACACACTGTTCAGCTATTAAAAGGAGTTCAAACTGGTTTTCACTGGAAGCCTCAAACCGCATTTTCAAATACAGCAATGGTTTTGAGTATTTATTCTGGTAAGAGTTTCACAATTCAATTACAGTGGAGATATTTTCACATTCCACCTTCATCAATTATCCACTTCAATCCCATCTCTATAGTTGATTTTCGAATTCACACTCGCACGTACACACATACACGCACCACAGCAACAGCTTGCATTTATAAATTGGAGAAAAAGCAAGTTGGTTGCGTGTTAATGGTGGGGTGTAGAAGGGAGGTTCTCCTTAACTTGCAGAAAATTAGGAAGATTTGACTGCAAAGAGAGTGAGGCAATATTGTTTGACAAAATAGAGGTATATGGCATATTGGATGGCTAGCCCGTTTGTACACCATACTACTCTAGCTTACGTTTCTCCAAGGGAAACTATACCACACTAACTTCAATAAATATTGTTTAATTTTCCTGCTGTTGTGAATGGAATTTTATGCTTTTCCTTATATTCACTTATTTGACCTCGTCAATGTTTTGGTCCTATGTCTATCTTTTCCCCTCCCTCGCATTTTCTAAATTATTGTACTGATTGACTAAAGGAAATAAAAGCCAAGTGGCATTAAATTCACATACCTTCAAAAATATAGTTTTCAGTTCAGCTGGATCAGCTCTCTTGCAGGAAGCTAACTGGGAAAAGAAAGCAAAGTATTGTTAGTTGACAAATCTCAAGACATCAGCAGTACATTTTGAATAGTTTTATTCATAACATCTTAACACACAAAATAATATACAAAGATCTCTCTTGTATAAATTCATTCCTGAAAAAAAGTTACAGGAAAATCGAGCAAATTTATTAAATGATTTACTCCTGTATGCTTCTCCTTCAAACCTTCCAACACGGTGATCAAACAGTCTCCAAACCCAAGTCATTCTTCTCCTATACCTTAAAACTGTGGAACTTCTTATGCCCTCAGTCTTCGCTTCCTCTTTTAAACCACAAGCTTTTAAAAACCCAAGCTTGGCATCACCTAACCACGATTTGATTTCTCTCATCTTTTCTTCTCCCATTTTCAACCTGGGTGGCCTCTATACCGCCAAGGCTTGGCCCTACTTCTAATTTTATCATTAAGAAAAAGCTATATTGCTTCAAAAATTCAGACAAATTCCAAAGATGCCAGGTTCTGCAATTCCATGTATTCAGTTACAGTAGACTGCTGTACAGCAAACCAAGTATTTGCAAAACTAAAGCAAAATAATTCCATCTATTTTAAACTGTGATAATGTTACAATGCCACATTATAATTATTAATACGAACAGCTACACAAAAAGGAATTTCCAATTCCAATTGAGAGGGCAATCCAAAATGATCCCTCTCCTCCCCACCCCCACAACATTATTGCTCATCAACCTTTCAAACAGAGGGCATGTGTTATTGATTCATGTTTCACATGACAACACTCCAGTCTGATTTTGTTAGCCCAAAAATATATACCAGCAAATATACCATACTAGGGAAACACACAACCAACACAACAAACTTCATACAGCAGGTGTTCTAAACCAGAAAACAGCCAAAATATTTAAGATTGTTTCTTGAAAAATATCTAAATAAGTGTTTGGGCAGATGAATTACTGCAGGCTCCCGTCACGAGTTCTCATAGCATCACTTCAAGGAAAAGTAGATTTTATACAAACAAGAAAACCTCATTGACAGTCTGGTTCACTCAGGGTTGTTTCAGACCTCAAGTGTCATGCGAGCTCAACGGCCAGCCACGTTGCAAGTTTGAGCCGCAGGGCTGCCCATCCCTCCAGGTCCCTTATCACGGTTGAGCAAGTTCTGTCAGCATTTATCTGAACTTCTGGGTGGAACAGTGAACAAAGATTGGGGGAGGAGGTGCTATCACATCAAGAAAGTGAAAACAGACATGCTGACCTGCTTTATTGAATAGCAATCCCTGTTGATTAATCACAAGAATGCTAACAGCTAACCTGCAGAAGGTTACATTCCATTAACCCAGGTGGAAACAGTTGAGGCACAGCATAACTTGAAACTACTTTTTTTTCCCCAAAAAAGTTAAGAGATTGGATTTTATTGCTTATTTAGTGTTTAACTAAGCGCTCTCAGACGCTACCATGCGTTGAGGGCACTCTATAAGTGCAAGTTGTTCTTAAATAAGGACTTAAAAATTTAAAATGATCTCCAGATCTATTGATCGTCAACCTCTAAACTCCTTTTACAGGATAGAGGGACTCCAGACCAAAAACTACTGGGCATCTGTGATGCTTCAAGTGGATTTTAGCTTTCTCTTCCCCCTTTTCCATATGACCTAATGACCTAGCAGAGATTGCAATTTATTAAGGCACAAATAGGAGTTACAGACAGCTGAGTTCTACAAATAGGTTCAAAACCACATTATTTTCTGGAAATTAAAACATTATCTTATGAAAAACTTTTAATAATAATAACTTAATTTAAGATACTATTTAGCAGAAAGTAAACAAAGTTTAAGTATGATCTGAGCATACCTACGAGTTTTGTTTAACTAAAAACTTGTAATGTTTGTTTTCTTTTATTGGGCATTATCAGTTTAGCTAATTCCACATGGCAAAATATTTTCTAATTATTCTAAAGACTCTAGTAGCAAATAAAGAATACCACAACAATTTGTTTCATTAAAAGCACCATGCCAATACATTTTTACACTACATTTTTGACAATTTTAAAAGTTTCAACTGATCCATAACTAGATCATAATAATAATCCTTCCATTTGATATAGCGCCTTATCACATCATTGAGATATCTCAAAGAGCTTCACAGAATCTATTGTAAAGTGGATTGATTGTATTTTGTGGGTGAAACGAGGCAGCCAATTGCAGACAGCAGTGTTCCACAAACATTCATGGATTGAGTGATTTGTGTTGATGTTGTTGGAGGGAATATTACTCCCGGAAAGCGATCCGCCAATCGGGTTCCTACTTACTGCAAGGTAAATAGAGGCGTATGGAGTATGGAAACTTGCCGAAAGTTTCTCCCCTCCTCGGAATCGAACACAGGTCATCTCTCTTGTGTGGCGAGCTCGCTAACCACTACGCTATGGGACTTCACACTTATTCCAAGATAAGACCTCATGTAATCATCTAAGACTACCCATTATTCAACTGTTTAAAAATTACTAGTCATTGGCTGACTTTCAGATGAGGGATTCCATCTTTGTAACATTTCTGATGCTGGGCACAGAAACATGGCATTCTGTCACTCACCTTTGGCTCAAAACAACTCCTTTGGATCACTGATTTCAGGGCTGAGACTAACATTTCCTCATAGCCGAGGTTCAGTACGGGGACACATGTTTGGAAACACTCCAATGGGATTTATTCAAAAATATCCACTGACCATGAATGCCAACAGAATGACTCAATCAATCCAATTATTTTTGAGAGTAATCAACAACAAAAACAGTTGTCAAGAGAGGTGATTGAGGCCAGGACACTTGTCTTATTTAAAAATGCAGTTTGATGCTGTGCTTTGGGTGGGGGGGGGGGGGGTGGGGTGGATATTCTGGAAGGATGAGATCGAATGGGCCAAAGGATATTCTTCATCTAAACAAATTTTGTGTGATCTTGTGAACACTATGATCAGTCCAGTCATACAGTAAATATTGAGTGAGAAAAGCTTTGGCAAATTTGATTTAAACTAGAAATACCTTTTATGCAAAGTATTCCCCTGACTGTTTTCTGTGTTTTTAGAAAACCGACCTAAGTAAATATACCCTAATTTGATATGTCAGGCAATAACTTATTTGAGTGCATTTGTTTGAACTGGGCAGTTTACTCCCAAGACAAATGTCATTCCCTGCCTCGTACCCAGTTATTAACGTTGACTTTACTCAGCCACAGTGAGCTCTACCCACTTATTGTTTTTTAAAGTAATCAGATTTAATGCTTATTACAGCAACAACTTATAACCACCATATTCTGGAACAAATCAACAGCAACAAGCAAAACAATGTGGTCATTGGGCTACTCTTGTTTAAAGCAAAGATCCGAACTTCACAAACAAAGCTTAAACCATGTGCTCCCAAAATAAAAACAATCCAAAGGCGTAGAGGTGCAGCTCAAAATTTATATTTTGTTAATAAGCAAACCAATTCAATAAACCTTTCACTTAGTGAGATAAATTAAAGACTACGAGCTGTGTACATTTTATACCTAATCATACACTGCAGTTCTAGCTTGATGAGACATGTACTGTACTACTGTATGATAGTTTTAAACGTCTGCGCTTAATTGTAAATGACTCACTGAATTCAGCTTCAGCAAGAAAGGGCTTCAAGTGAAAGACAACATTTTCAAAGATGAAAATTTATAACTTCTCCCCTTGGTCCAAAGAAAATATTTATGTCTGCGTTTATGTTTCAAATGAGGCCACCCTTGAGGTCAGCACTATAAAAAAAATATAACTGGACAAGTTCATGTCCAAATATACTCTGCACATTTGTGCCAAAATACTCTGCAATAAAGTGGATATGCTGTAAACTCACACCCACAATTCTTCAAACCCCAAATTCCTATACAACCATAGTAATTTGCAGCAGGGAAGACCATCTGGTCCATTGTATGTGCTGGCTCTTCTGAGAGCAATACTTTCTGTCCCATTTGCCTGCCCTTTCCCATACTCATGTAGCTTATTCCTTTTTAGGCATTTATCTAGTCTCCTTTTGAAACTTAATATGGTTACTGCATCATCCACTGCTCCCAGTAGGGCATTCCACATTCTAACTACGCCATGTGTGAAATTATTTTTCCTAACCTCCCCATTTGCCCGTTTACTAAATATCTTAAATTTCGACTATCCCATCAGCAGAAGCAACAGTTTCATTCTGGGTGTTGAGGAGAGAAGGAACCAGAGGAGAGAAGGAACCAGAGAATAAAACCTAAACAATACTCATGTACCTGCTAGACATCAGCTATAGCATACAATTGAAAGGGGATGGAAGCTGTCTATCTCCCAACCTTTGACTGGAGAATAGTGAATGAAATGGAGAGGCTGAAAGATGCTTTATAGAATGGGAAGATTAAATTAGACAAAAAATATTGTTATCGGAGTCCACAAACCACAAACTACTACATTAATGGGGCTTCAAGAGGTTAGGGGATAAGCCAGGATTGAATAGATCTCCTTGCTCTGTGAGACGGAGTGAACTCGGTGAACCGAATGCCTCCTTCTGCACTATAGATTTCTATAGATGGAGTTCTGTAACTCAGTGGTTAGAGCACTCGCCTCGCAAGCAAGAGACCTGGATTCGATTCCCGGCCAGGGCGAAACATTGAGCAAGTTTCCTTACTTCACACGCCTCTGTTTACCTAGCAATAAATATGAACCTGGTTGTTAGTCAATTGGTAGATCGCTTTTCCGGGGGTAATAATTCCTTCAAAAACATTGGTCACTCAATTCACGACTGTTTCCTTTCGCCCACAAATTATAGTGAATTCACTTAAATTCAGCAAATTCTGTGAAGCCCTTTGAGACGTCTCGAAGACATCAGGTGCTATATACAAAATACAATACAAAATTACATTTGCATAGGGCCTTTCAAATGCAAGGATTGTTAAATTATATATCTATTTTGTAACTAATATCTACTCAATTTATGTCTGTCTGTCTATCTCTCACACTGTCTTACAGCTTTGCAACTTGCATGCGGTCAATAACCACTTCTGTAACACTCATAAGTGATATCAACTTTTTTCAAATTTATTGATGTTTATACAAGTGGTTATGAGAATCATTAACTGCATCATCATCTCATGATGAAATTATTTTTGATTTGATTTTAATTTGTTTCTATTAAAGTCATCATTTTTAACATTGGGGGACCATAGCTGTGCCTGCTCACGCACTTGAAGTCAAGCCTATTTCCTAAGTCACACTGGTACAAAGTGCTTCAGTTGCTATGCTGGTGTGTCTCACACTGGCACTGTTTACGTACCTAACTTGCCATGCTATGTTTGGTCTGGTCCTGGTCTATCCACAGTGATACCCTCTCCATACTGCAGTTGTTAAGCTGGTCTGGGTTGTCTATGCTGTGTCCCCACCCACTCCCTATGTCAGTTGACAATGCTGGTCTGGGCTGAGTTGGGTTATCTCTGGGCCAGGGTGTCCCTGGTCTGGGCTGAGTTGGGTTATCTCTGGGCCAGGGTGTCCCTGGTCTGGGCTGAGTTGGGTTATCTCTGGGCCAGGGTGTCCCTGGTCTGGGCTGAGTTGGGTTATCTCTGGACCAGGGTGTCCCTGGTCTGGGCTGAGTTGGGTTATCTCTGGGCCAGGGTGTCCCTGGTCTGGGCTGAGTTGGGTTATCTCTGGGCCAGGGTGTCCCTGGTCTGGGCTGAGTTGGGTTATCTCTGGGCCAGGGTGTCCCTGGTCTGGGCTGAGTTGGGTTATCTCTGGGCCAGGGTGTCCCTGGTCTGGGCTGAGTTGGGTTATCTCTGGACCAGGGTGTCCCTGGTCTGGGCTGAGTTGGGTTATCTCTGGGCCAGGGTGTCCCTGGTCTGGGCTGAGTTGGGTTATCTCTGGGCCAGGGTGTCCCTGGTCTGGGCTGAGTTGGGTTATCTTTGGGCCAGGGTGTCCCTGGTCTGGGCTGAGTTGGGTTATCTCTGGGCCAGGGTGTCCCTGGTCTGGGCTGAGTTGGGTTATCTCTGGACCAGGGTGTCCCTGGTCTGGGCTGAGTTGGGTTATCTCTGGACCAGGGTGTCCCTGGTCTGGGCTGAGTTGGGTTATCTCTGGACCAGGGTGTCCCTGGTCTGGGCTGAGTTGGGTTATCTCTGGACCAGGGTGTCCCTGGTCTCCACACCCTCGCCTTACCTGAGTGGCCATGATGCTGCTCTGTGTGGGTTGTACCTTCTCTCCTCCTCCCTCAGGAGCCCACGAGGGTCCTGATTGGCTGAGGGGCGGCGCCTGCGCGGTGGGGGGGGTTGATGTGGTCACAATAGCAGTGAGGCGGGGGGGCGGGGCGACGTCTGGTTTTCTCCAATGAGCGTCAAGCCTCACACCATCAGCCCCTCCGTCACCACAGGGTGTGGGCACTCAGCCCCCCCTCCCCACAGGGTGTGGGCACTCAGCCCCCCCTCCCCACAGGGTGTGGGCACTCAGCCCCCCCTCACCACAGGGTGTGGGCACTCAGCCCCCCCTCACCACAGGGTGTGGGCACTCAGCCCTCCCTCATCACAGGCTGTGGGCACTCAGCCCCCCCCCCCCCCCCCCCCCCCCCGGTCACCACAGGCTGTGGGCACTCAGCCCCCCCTCATCACAGGCTGTGGGCACTCAGCCCCCCCTCATCACAGGGTGTGGGCACTCAGCCCCCCCCTCACCACAGGGTGTGAGCACAGCCCCCCCCCCCCCCCCCCCCCCCGTCACCACAGGCTGTGGGCGCGCAGCCCCCTGGTCACCACAGGGTGTGGGCACAGCCCTCCCGTCACCACAGGGTGTGGGCACAGTCCCACCCCCCCCCCCCGGTCACCACAGTCTGTGGGTGTGCAGCCCCCTGGTCACCACAGGCTGTGGGTGTGCAGCCCCCTGGTCACCACAGGCTGTGGGTGTGCAGCCCCCTGGTCACCACAGGCTGTGGGTGTGCAGCCCCCTGGTCACCACAGGCTGTGGGTGTGCAGCCCCCTGGTCACCACAGGCTATTCACTCACCTGTCAACAAAGTGCACAGAAATGTAAATTCCAACTAATCCCATTTCCAATGGAGAATAAATACAATTACTTTTTAAAAAGTATGTTTATAGGTATTAAAGTCATTGAATGATTCAGCTCCTTCACGCTGCAGAACCATGGTTCATTCTGAAGAATGTGTGCCATTAGCAATTCAAGAGGGTCTATATTATCAAAGAAGTTAAGATTTGATCCATGGAATCTCGATGTGACGTGCCCTGCTCCAAGGCCAAAGTCATTCCAGCAGGAGATTCATCCAGTTCTCTTTGAGCATTAGCATAATTGGAGGAACTGAACTGAATTTGTCCTGCGTTTCATCCACAAAATACAGTCAATCCACTTTACAGTATATCCTGTGAAGCACTCGGAGACGTCTCCATATTTGTACTGAATCACATGCAAAAGAATGGTTTCTTGTCACAAGACATGGACTGTATTGACCCTCTTGTCAGCGTGTAATTGGAAAGTGTAGTTCGAGTTCTTTTCAACTCTGGGTGTCTGACTTGGCTTAAAACTAACAAACCTACACTCTGTATCTGCAGCCTGAAAGGCAATGACATTTCACCCAGTGAGCCCCAAACATGAAGAATATTGACCATAAAACATACCAAATGGACTATTGTGTCAGCTTGGCTCAGAGGTAGCTCTCTCACCTCTGAGTCAGAAGCTTGTGGTTTCAAGTTCTACCTCAGGACTTGGAATCACATTGTCTAAGCTGACACTCGAATTCAGTGCTGGGGGGAGGGTGTTGCATTGTCGGAGGTCTCGTCCTTTAGATGAGACGTTAAATTGAGGCCCCGTCTGCTTTATCAGGTGGATATTAAAGATCCCATGGCACTATTCGAAAAGAGAAGGGGGTTTCTCCTGGTGTCCTGGCCAATAATCCCCAAATAAAATCGATCACTCACTCACTTGTTATTATTATTAAATTATTGCTTTTGGAGATCAAATTCCCTGCACAATTGCTTGCAACATTTAAGAAACCCTTCCTTTAAATACAGTTTTACATATTCTTCTCAATTTGACAATGTTTCTTGAAATCCAGATATATGAATTCTTCCATACTGAGACATCCAGTCAAACCAAACTCACTTTAATATTCTTAAATGTGTATACCTTCTATCTCACTTGGAATACTGAGTTGCTCTCTAATCTAATTGAAAGAAAAAAGAATTGTTGCATTTATACAGCAGCTTTCACATCGGAAAGAAATCTCAAAGTGCTTCAAATGATACATTGTAAGGTGTAGCGATTGTATAGTACAGAATATACTGTAAAGTGAATCTGTGGGCGAATATAAAGTTTACATTTACATAAAGTTTACACAGTGCCTTTCACATTAGGACATCTCAAAAACGCTTGATAATAATTTCACTAAGTAAATATCTACCTACTGTGTTGGTCTTTTGAATACCTCTGTTCTCCAGTCTGTTCATGTTCTCATGATCCTTTGTGTAAAAATACATTAGTATAACTCACTAGTGACCACATAAAATCTCTTTTCTCAGAATGGCATTCAAGGGAAATAGCAAATTGACAATAAAGTCATTGTACACATCATGTGCACAATATGACCTATAACACTTGTAATAGATACATACATATCAGACATAAATTTTAAGAAAAATGTACATTGAGAACTCTTATTTTTTCCCATGTTAAACTCCTCAGCAGTCCCACAAAGCATTTGGTTTCCAAGGTTGGGAGGAAAGATAGAGAGATGCTGGGCAGACTGGACCAGTGGAAACGGAAGACACCTGTCAATCAAAATGCCTTTCAGAATGAGTATTGGTATGAATGGTCTTCTTGTAGGGTTCTACTAGACTGAGCAGAAATAGATAATGCTGCATACTGTGAGAAGCATTCAAAATAGAATTAAAATAATTTGGTCACTCAATCCACGACTGCTTGTGGGACACGGCTGTGCACAATTGGCTGATGAGTTTCGCCCATACAATATACAGTCAATTCACTTCACAGTATATTCTGTGAAGTGCTTTAAGACGCCTCAAAGACATTACAAGGCGCAATATCAAATGCAAGAATTTATTATTATTATTGTTATAATATCAGCCTTTTCGAACTGAGTTGAGGAAACATTTTTTCACTCAGAGGGTAGTGAATTTGTGGAATTCTCTATCCCAGAAGGCTGTGGATGCTCAGTCCTTGAACATATTCAAGACTGAGGTTGACAGATTTCTAAAGGATAAAGGGATTAAGGGATATGGGGATGGGGCGGGTAAATGGAATTAGGTTAGAAGATCTGCCATGATCTTATTAAATGATGGGGCAAGCTTGAGGGGCCGAATGGCCTACTCCTGCTCCTACTCTTATGGTCTTATGGCTCCAAGTATAGGGGGTTTTCTATGAGAGTAACCTTGGAGGATAGAAAATGGGAATTGTTACATTCATATGCCCTTGCTCCATTTGAGATATTACCTTCAGAGAATGACTGAAAATATCTGAGGAAATTTGGAATGGCTTACTGTGAAATATGAACCAACAAACACGTTGGATTTTTAGAAACATCAAAGGTAGCTTTACAAATGGGGAAGTTCTTTTGTTTCAGATGAACGATTTTGCACCATGGATTATCCAATCTAAGACTCACAATGTTACTGTTGAGTAGGAATTGAGAGAAAAGCATCAGAGTGTATACAGAAAATCTTCTCACAGATTGTTGTGATAAGCGGAAAAGATTTTACTCTCTAATGCCAAAATCAAGGAGATGATTGCATGATTTTTAACCCCAGGGTGCTGGAGTACTTCCAGTGTTTAATGAATGAAGTCCAACTACATCGGAGTTTATGCAACAGCTGTCTCTCTTTGTCTTCAATTATTTGGTAGAAGCTGAACTGTGTAGACAAACCTCATTGTTTATGAAGGAAATAGAAAGGTCACTGCTTTGTACCCCCTTCCCATTTCCAGCCATTAATCTTCTTTTGAAAACATTCAGCTCAAGACAATCAAAATCTAACATCTTTTATTTTAGTTAGATGGATTATTAAGGTGTAAGTTTTAGTACCTCAGATATTTACATTATATAGCATAAGGTTTGAGCAGCTTGCCACACAATCTGCCTATAGGCTCTATCATTTTTGGAAAATATTATCCCAATTAATTTTCTTGCTCCTTGCACTCAGAAATAGGACACAGGTTCATTGCACTGATATAAACATAGGGGCTCATGAAAATACATGGAAATCTTTCCAGCTGTTTTTCTTATGAAAGGAACGACTTTGGCCTAACTTGTATAAAATATAATAATGCGAGTCGAATGCATGTACCATTGTTGCCAACTGGCAGAGAGAAAATATCCTAGCAAGAAGATAAAAGTCCATCCAACAAATCAAGCCACAACATGAGCCAATTTTAAATATGTCTCTATTCAGGACTGCAGTAAGGCAGCCATGTGGACTAATTCCAGCACCTTTGCAAATCATCCAATAGATACATGGTGTTTGAAAACCCAAGGAGTATTATTCATGGGCCAGAGACAAAGGGTACAAAGTAAAGACATATGATAACAGGATAATCACCAAAATAAATACTCTGCCATCAAAGTAAATAGCAGTGAAAATTGTGGTCATCCATTGTTTAATAATAATAGATAATAATCCTTGCATTTTGATATAGAGCTTTTTTTACGTCTTCTAGACGTCTCAAAACGCTTCACTGAATATACTGTAAAGTGAATTGACTGCATATTATGCATTATTTACGGGTTATGGAGGGAGCGGGTGGGCCAGATTAAATGGAGGAAGGGGAGAAAGGGCATTGGATGAAATCAGCCGGCAGGCCTTAGTTGAGCCACCCTGTACATAGAATGTACATAGATAATGTGCATAGATAATAACAGGACTGGTAAACTAATTTTTGTTGTTACAAAGTAAATTACTCTTCTCAGGATGAAATAAAAATTGTAAAATTATTTATACCCTTAATTTATTATTGAATGATTACAAATACTGAGGCTTTCAGCATGGATCAAAGGTGGATGTTTCCCTGATTATATTTTAAGGATTGTTTCTATGTCCATGTGAGGTTCATCAGAAGTTCATATAGTGGTATAAAAATATATAACTTCAAGAAATTAAAACTCGTTGCTATACTTGCCCTTTTCCCATATAGTGTATTTACATAATCGTTAAACTACGGCTGCAGATAATAATAAAATCATAATATTGCTTCTACTTT